AGCTGTTCCTACAGTCAGTCTGTGCCCTAATCCCAACCCCAAACCAGGTATTCCCTGCTCAAACCCTGCTGTTGACACAAGACACATTAAGCACTGCCAGAAGGTGACTATAGAAAAAAGAAAAGCTTTTTTCCTTTTCATGGCAACCTCCATGGCTGCACAGCTCTTCAAATATTTACCTGGCTCCTTATAATTCATTAGAAGCCATTTTTGATGATATTCTCTTTGAAACTGTATTCCCAGTGCCCGGGTAGGGAGCTGAATTTGCATTACAGCAGTAGAACTTCCTGCCTAAGACCAACTCCTCTAAAAAAAACTTTTCTGGGTATCTTTCTGCTGGCACGGGGCAGGGGATGGAGCACTGGGGATGCCCGTGGGCAGGAGAGGGAAAATTCAATGTACAGGAATAAAGAACATCTGTCTCCTTGTGTTTTCTGCTCTACCCCCACAAGGATGTTGTGTACACCAGTGACAACAGGTCCCTGTGAAAGGCTGTGGTAAAATCTTGAAAAACCTCTGACTAATATTCCAGCAAGAGGGTTTTGGCATTTGTTTCAGGATTTTCTCAGAGAGGAAAAGCTGTCTCAAATTTGGGCTCACTTTGTGCAGCAAGAATGATAATTCCTGTATGGATTTAGTAAGCTCCTGCAAGCACATTAAAGACCAGTGCTTAATAAGGCCTCAAAAATGAGGTAATGCAAATCTGGGAGGAAGCCCAGCCCCCAATCCCCCTCCCAGCCCCATTTTTGGTGTTTGTTGAGTCTGATTTTACCCAAGGGTGGCCAGAGGTTTTAATGAGTTCCTCTCCTGGGCCTGCCTCGCTGTTTAACGGGGCAGAATTGCAAATCCTGTTGATGAAGGATCTGTTCAGCCCCTTGGAAGTGCCTGTGCCAGGGGAGCCTGCTGTGCTGCCTGCAACAATCACTCTGCCCTGCTCCTCCCCTCCTGGGATCCACTCATGGATTTGGCCTAACACTCCATCCCCCGGGCCACTAGCCATGTTATTTGAACTGAATTTGGGCAAGGCACAGATAGGTCAGCAGAAATGAAGGGAATTAGAAAATTAGGAGAATCAGTTGGGAGCTGCATTCTCATAGCCTCAGGAAGCTCTTTCCTGGTCCTTCCACACAGGCCCTCCTGCTTTGGGTCCATTTTCTGAGTAGCTGAACTTTCTGAAAAGTGGCATCACTTGTTACTGGGACCTGAGAGGATGCATTCCCTCCCTCCTAAATCTTTTCTGTAATATGGAAACTCCAGAGAAGTAAAGGACAGCACTCAGGCAAGTTTGCAAGTTTCAATAGCATAATAGCCTGAAAATCAGCAAATTGTTCTTTGCTTCAGGTTTCAGCTGCAAAAAACAAAAGATGTATTTTTCTTCCTGAAAAAAAATCTGAAAAAATCCTCACTTATGAAGGTATTATCATTGTGATATATATCAAACCCAAATAGTTCCTTTCCTTCCCATCATAATCCCTCCTACAGAGTCTGCAATCAAAACATTTTGGTTATCTTGGCCTATGTGCTATTTGGAAACCAATTTATAGGAGCAGGATTGTGCTTTTGTTCCAATGAATGTTCATAAATCAAAATAGTTTGATGTAAAATACAGGTTACTGCATCCCAGCACCAACCACAGGGTAAATGCTGTGCATACAACAGGGAAAGCTCAGAAAACTGAGGGGTTTTTGACTTCCAGTCTGACCTGGGTGGTTCATCCTGATTGGATCCACGGGTTCCATGGTGTTCCTACTGTTTTTCTTTCTGCTGAGGGACCTTGGGATGAGGTCTGTAGGATGTTCCTGGACACTCCTCAGCTCAGCAGTGGGGAGGCCCAACCCCCTAACCCTGGGACCGTGGGACAGTGGGACAATGTCCTGCAGGTCCTGGACCTGCCTCCAGCCTGGGGAACTCCCAGACATTGGGGCCGGTGACACGGATTTGAGGCAAGCCAGGCCCCAGCCAGTGTGAGTGCAGCTGCCTACACTGCAATCAAGCTCCCAACTGCAGGGGAAACACAGCAGACACTTCAAAAAGACTCTATTTATATTGTGCCCTTCTGGTAAATTCATTTGTGGGACCACTCATGCAAAATGCATCATGCAAATGAAACCGCTACATTTGGAATTAAGCTTATTTTTGTACTCCAGTGAGCATGAGTGCATTAGATTGTTTTTCTTGCCTTTTGCCTTGCTTTTTTCTCTTCAGGTTGTATCCCCAGAGCACCTCTCTGGGGTCTGGGGAGGATGGCAGAGGCTGCTGGGAGCCATGGGAGTGCAGGCGCTTGCAGCCCCAGCTCTGGAGCCCACAGACTCCTGAGCAGCGCTGATGTGGAACTGATGAGTGCCTGGCTGCTTTACAGCACTGCAGCCCTCGAGAAAGCTGCTCCCTGTTCTCTGCAGCCTCAGTGATAGATTCATGCAGGGCATGGACAATTGCAGGGGAACGAAGGGAGAGGCTGCTGGCAGCTCAGGAAGTGCCTCCCAAGCCCTGCCCTGGCTCCAGCAGCACGAGGAGGCTGAGTGAGGAGGGCAATGGGTGTGCTGGGCCCCTTCCCATGGGAGCCCCAGCTCTGTCAGGGGATGCTCTGCACACCCACAGTGCTGATCCCTGTCCCTGCACCCTGGTTAACTCTGCACACACACAGTGCTGATCCCTGTCTGTGCACTCCCCTGTTAATTCTGCACACACACAGTGCTGATCCCTGTCCCTGCACCCTGGTTACCTATGCACACACACAGTGGTGACTGATCCTTCTGTCCCTGCACCCCTGTTAACTCTGCACGCACTCCCCTGTGCACTCTCCAGAGGCCCAGTGTGCCCTGCTCACATCTCCTGTCCAGGTGATCTGGTCATAAGCAAAGAGCTAAAGAAACACTGCCAGCTGAGGAGGTACAGAGTGGGATGGAGGGAGCACAGAGAGCAGACCTGCAGCACCCCCACTCCCAAGTCCTGCTTTAGCTGTGCACAGCAACCTCTTGCACATCCAGAGTAAGTTTGCTCCAGCACTGCTCTGTCCTGGCACTCCCAGATCAGCATTGATAGGTGCAGGGATGAAAGATGAACGTGACCTTTCAGACAGGGATCATCTGTAGGCACTTCAGAGGAAGAGAGAGCTGCCGGTGTGGCTGCAGGGAGCACATCTCCCACGCGAGGATGAAGCAGCACTCCCCTATCTCCCTGCTGCTTTGTGGCAGGCACAGCACCAGAGATGGGGGATCATGTCTTCCCTCTGCCTCCTTCCCCCCAGTGTGGAAGGTGGAGAAGCTCCCAGGGTCAAACTCTCTCCAGGAACTGCAGCTGGGCCGAGCCCTGTTGGACACAGGCGATGGTGTTTGGTGTCCGGGCTCTGCAGTGCACAGCAGAGTCTGCATTGCAGTCCCAAACTGCAACCTGCATCCCTGCCCTGCCCTGGCAGCACTGCCTCACCCTGGGGAGCCTGTGCCCCAGAGGGCACCCAGCTGTGCTGCCCCAGGGCCAGCAGCACAAGGGAACAGCATCCCAGGAACTGCATTAGGAGACAGGAGCTAGGAATGGCTGCTCAGTCAAACTACGAGAAGTGAGGGAGGCAAAAACACTGATCTGCTTCCATCTCATCATTTTTGGAACAAATTCAGTACAATCAACAGCAAATATACTTCAGCCCTCTTCAAGCACCTCCTGGAAGGGAAGTCAAGGAGCAGGGAAAAGAAACAAGCAGGGAGCTGGGCACTGCTGTGGGTGAAGAGCCTGAGCCACCACCTTGCTTTTGCTGAGCCACTCGGATTAGAGAGGGAAGCAAAGCAACCACGGGACAGGCCAACACACCTGGAGAGGTTTCAGTGCTCTGCTCGCTCTCTGACTCATTGAGTCACCTCAGAAGGACACTTCTGCTTTATTCATCTCCACCTCTCCATGCACTGCTGCCTGCGCCATCAAGCGAATGAGCACAGCAGTGAGTTCTGAGGGCTGGGGCTGCCTTCCCCAGCACCTCTCCCAGTGTCATCCCAGACCTCAACAAGGATCTGCTCTGCTCTAAGTCCTTACAAATGATAACACCACCAGGATGAAGCCTGAGATTTGTGAAGCATGCCCCAGTGCTCTCCCTGTGAGTGTGGACTGCTTGGAGGAGGGAAGGGCCTGAGCTCTGTCATGAACTGGTGTTGTGACAGCTCGCTGCAATCGAGCCATGACTTGCATGGCTGCTTCCCCTTCACATTCCCAGGAGCACGCTCCGCATTAGATCATGCTCTGCAGCAGGCTCTGCTCCAAAGCTTAACACAAAGCATGGGGACAAAGATGAAATTGCCCTGACCAGCTTTCCTTGTCCTGAAAATAGGCGCTTGTCATGTGGAGAGAGATGTGGAGAGCTTTCTCTCTGCTTTGGAGAGCACGGAGACAGAAGAAAAATAACTGATTTTCAAGCTACTTGTAAGGTTGTGGCTTCACCCACATTATTCCTGACAACTCACCCTGCACCCTAGAATTCTTCCTGGGAGCAGCACAGGGTCCCGGGCTCGTGGGGATCTCGCTGTTCACCAGACCTTTGCCTGCAGATTGCTCCTCCTTCCTTTTTCCCTCAGCACAGTGTCAGAGAATACAGAAAGCAAGAGGCTTCTAGCACATGCCCATGCTTATCTCTTTATTCAAGAGATAAGCACAGAGAAGCAGCAGATGGCAAACAGATGCCACAGGTTCTGCAAATCAGCTGTCTCCAGCCCTTTCCTCGGAGCTGTTCCTGGACCTTTGGGGGCTCTGAGAGGGCAAGCCCTCGCTGTCTGGCTGATAGCTCTGTTCACCAGCTACACAATTCCTGCAAGGGGCCCACCTGTACTTGCCCTGCTGCCAGCCCACACAGCATCTCCACACATCATGGGGATGCAGATCCCAGAGCCCACAGCCCAACAACCTGCAGAATTCCCTTGGGAACCTGCAACAAAGCACTAGGCCCCCACAAAAGGGCCAGGAAGGAGAAGGAGCATTCGAGGAAAGCAGCTGGCAGGCAGAGCCTGGGGTTGTCTCACCTCCTCCCACTGGTGGATGTAGCGGATGAGGCGGGAGAGGCGCAGCAGCCGCAGCAGGCTCAGGATCTTGGTGAAGCGCACGATGCGCAGGGCCCGCGCCGTCTTGTACACCTCGGAGTCGATGCGCGTCTCCACGATCAGGAAGATGTAGTCCACGGGGATGGAGGAGATAAAATCCACCACAAACCAGCTCTTCAGGTACTTCATCTTGATCCTCTGCGGGTCCAGGATGATCTCGGTGTTGTCCTCCACCACGATGCCTGTCCGGAAGTTGAGGACAAGGTCGATGAGGAAGAACGTGTCTGAAACCACGTTGAAGACAATCCACGGGGTGGTGTTTTCATCCTTGAAGAAAGTGATGCCCACAGGGATGATGATCAGGTTCCCTACCATCAGCAGCAGCATGGTCAGATCCCAGTAAAACCTGGACAGCAAGACAGAGACATGTGAGATCAGCCCCAGAGCAGGAGGTCGGGGAGCCCGGGTCAGCCGCACTGATGAACTCATCCATCTCTGCTGTCAGTCATCCCCCAGGCTCTGCTGCTCTGCCTGAGCACGCACACTGCACAAGCTGCTAATTGACTAATTAATATCAGAGGAACACTCCTGCTCTGCCTTCTAGGGCTCACAAAGGAGCTGAGCCAGGGCTGGTCGTGCCCACTTTAACACTTTCCTGGGAGCTGCCCCGGGACAGACTGAAAAACCTGTGGCTACAACAGGGCCCGCTGGGTAAGGAGAGAACAAGGATTTGGGAGGCCAGAGTGTGTGTGTCAATAAAGCCATTTGGGGTTAAACCATCAGGCTTTGCTCCTGCTGTCTGATCCTTCAGAAGCAAGGCAGCACTGACCAGCCTTCAGGTCAGGTTCCCGCCGAGCCTGGACTCCAGGATTCGAGCCCACACTCTACAGGCTCCCGTGTTGTACAGAAACAATCAATAAAGCTTGGAGTCACATGCCTGGAAATACCTATTCCATTTCTAAGGAGAGTAACACCAACATTTAACTCCTGTTCCCTGAAGCACAGTCTCCAGGAAGCTTTTCTTCACTCCAGTGGCAGCTCAGTGTTATCCAGTGGATCCTCAGTTTTGTTTTGAAGGTGCATACAGTCTGAGTAGAACCCCTAATTTATTTGTTTGGGATTTTTTAAAAGATTTTCAAGACAGTGTGGTCACAAGTTCCCCAGAGTGAGGACTAAAACCCTTCCCCAGTATCAGAGCTTGCTGAGGAGCCTCACTGCCCAGCACACTGGTGCTCCAGTCCCTTCCAAATGTGTCACATGTAGATGCTGATGTGCTGTGGGCTCACAGCAAGGTTCCACCAGCCCCACACGGTGTACTGTGGGTCAGCTACTCCAATATCATTAAGTTATTAATACAATAATCACCACTTTGTCACAGGAGGTGAGCAAACACCTCAACAGCACCAAGAGCATCAGTGTGACCCTGGATTGACACTGATTTGCCAGAGGGAAGTGTTGGGCTGCTGAAGGACATGCAAATGCTGCACATCTAACTCTTTACAGCTAAAATCCCTGAAATGTTTCTGGAGAGCTGGATTTGCTTTAAAGACCCTCAAGCTCTAGCTTGGTTAGTGGCTGTTTGGCTGGAACCTGGAGCAGGCTGAGCTGCTGCAGATCAGGATTTCCAAAGCAAGGCAACTACGTGGTTTGTTAAACTCTTGGCAGGGAAACCAAAAGGACAGAATATGCCTTAAAACCCTTCTCTGCCTAGAGCCTCTCTCCCCGCTAGGAACACTTTAAAGCACCTAAAAGCATCTTTAAGATTCCAGCCCTTGCCCACGTACAGACAGGGTCAGCAGCCAGCAGCACCCCACAATCATTCAGCAGAGGCTGATGGGAACTGAATTCAGAATAAGCAAAGTTATTCACTAACGAGCTTTCTAAAAACGACCTCAGCTCTCTCTCCCTGGCTCTCAAGGTGCCGTGAGGGGAGGTGCCAGGAATCCTCCCCTCAGTCTGCAGGTACAGGGATGCTGGCAGCATTCAGCAGTGGGATTTGTCTATCTGCCTCCAAGAGCAAGGCTGTGGCATGCAGCAATATGCATTAATATAAATCTGTGTTGTGAGCTTCCTTAATAAGGGCCTGAGATGATGCTGCAGCTTTCCCAGGCAATTAATCTGGATAATCGCACAATAGCAGGAAGTCTGGAAGCAGTGTGTGCATTATTACTGAAAATAAATAACCTCCCAGCCATCTTTCATTTGCCTTAGGGAATACACAAGGAGATAGGCACAAAGAAAATGAGTTTTCCCAAGTTTCAAATTAATGGCAGGAGCCTGGCATGGCCAGGTTTGCAGTGCTGGGAAGGTAAGCACCTTTCTTCTGAGATCTTTGCATTTTGGGGCCTCTTTTTGAGGCTGGGTGGTGATTTCTACACCACTGGAGTAACTGGAGTGGCAGTGGCAGGAAGGCTCCAGTTCAAGGAAGGTGTTTTGCACACACAAGGCCAGTGAAAAGCTTTCCCCTGACTGCAGCTAGCCCGGCCTCTCCCTGTCCAGTGTGCTCAGCTGTCCTGCATCCTGACTTGCAGCAATTCCTGCGCTTCCAGACCTGAGCCCCTCCAGCTCCTCCCTCTCAACTGCTCCTGAGCTGCCCCAGGAGGAGAAGCAGGGTGTGGGTGTGGGCAGGAGAGGCAAATGCTGAACCCACTGCCACGTGTCCCTTAGAGCACAGCTCTCCTCAGGGCTGCACTGCTGACTCCAGATTATTGTCATGGCTCTCAGCTCTGACCTTTAAAGCCATCACTTAAAACCACGGAAGGGAAACTTCTGTACCCAGTGATCCCTCTAATAAAGGTGTCACGGAGGAGATGACCTTGGGGCTCTAGGAAGGAGGCAGAAAAAGCTGAGGCACACCAAGAATTTGGCCTGCACACCAACTCCAGCACCTGCCTTTCCAATGCGAGCTGCCTGGCAGTTAAAATTCCCCTGTGAAGATCTGCAGAGCTCCTGCACATTTTCATTTCACCCACATAGGAAGCAGGATCTGCTCAGGGTGGCATCAGTGCATTTAGACTTAATTAGACTCTCCAGGCCCGCAACACCTCAGAGGTCTGATACCATCCAAGTGTCATTTTGCATTTGCTCCGAGGAACATCTTTTCCCTCCCTGTAAATTACTGGCCACAATGACTAACGGTGCATGTGATGTATGTAAGGGCAAGCACCAGCTATTAATAACCCGTGTTTTCTGGATTTCTGTTGTTCCTTTCACCCAGGGATTCCACGGAGCTGACAGTGATGAAATTGGCTCCGCTGCACCCAGGAGAGGCAGTTATTATCCCTGCCTTGCACACACAGGAGTCACATAGCAAAGTGAAGAGCCTGGGATTTGTCCACAGAAGGCTGAGGCTCAGCAAGAGTTAGGACCTGAATCTCATTTTTGAGTCTAACCAGATCTGAAGCCATTCACATGGTTTGCAAAAGAGCATAACAGAGATGCATCTCTGGGACATCTCCCTCTGATATCTTGCCTTCTTCTCACTTCTCTTCCTGTTTCCAAAAGCCTACATAAAAAATTAATAAATATGAATGTATTGTTTTATTACAGTTGACTCAGTGCAACTGAACAGCTCAGAGCACAGGGAACAGGCAGCACTATATAAACCAGATGTCTTGTTCAAACACCCTTGGTTTTTATACTCCATCCTACTCTCTGCACACTCCTTGGATCTGAAAATCACATTTTAACATGCACCACTACCTCGGATCTCTTAATTCCCGATGTATTATTTAAACATAACGTATCTGAGAATTATTGTGGCACAGACACTTCAGGAATATGTGCTCCTTAAGCACTGCTGTGTCACTCAGCTGGTGTGACAGCCTGCACACTCGGCAGGTATTCATTTGTGGGTTTGGAATGCAGGACCATCTTTCTGCTCTGCCTAGAGCACACTGTGACAGCAGACCAGGAATATTGCTTTTGGAAGTGATTTCTTACAATTAAATGAAATTTCCTTTCTCAAGACCATTCCATGGTGCAGTGTGGGCAATTCTAGAGCATGAGCTCAGGAAGTGAAGAATTGGAAAGAAAGCACTGAATCCCAGAGGTGAGAGGCTCAGCAGCATCACTGGGTCACAGCAGCACTGACACCCTGAGCATTTGTGGCTCCTGAACTTCTGTTCTGGCTTTGTAGCGCTTCCACAGTCCAGAGAAGATGGACTTGAGTGGCCTCACCTCTAAATTAAGAAGGCTTGCTGGGTTTTTCAGCTCTGGACTGAAGCACAAATAACAAAGCACCTGCCTGGCAGTGCCAGGGGCCAGGAGATTCTCCCCAGCAGTGGAACTGAGCTCCCACCCTGCAGCCAGCTCTGCTGACTGCTCAAGAACGGCTCTTTAATGAGAGCAGCTTGTTCAAAGCAAGCCCAAAGCCAAACCCAGCTGCTGTCCCAGGGCTTGGTGCTGACTCCAGAAACAGAGTGCCACCTACTGAGTCCCACACGGAATCTCCATCCCCTGCCTGGTGGGGAGGAACTGCTCCTTAACTCCTGAGCTGATGGAAACCTGCGCTTCTCTCCAGAGTGGCGGCTGCCTTTCCTCGCTCTGGACTGCACGCTGCATCGGGTGGCCTGGCAGGAAAAGACATCGTGCTGCAATTCCCAGGAGTGCTGTGGGGCTGGAAATAGAAATCTCCTTTTGGAAAGAGCATTAGCGGAGCTCAGGGTGGCTGGAGCCACAGTGGGAGCAAAGTTTACTCCAGAAACAGCCCTTCACAGAGACAGCTGAACACAGGCAGAGCAAGAGAAAAACAACAACAAAAAGATGCTTCCCTGCCTCTGGAAGCATTACTTCTCCCAGATAGGAGCAGGCTGTTTCTACTGGAGAGTTACAGCCTTTGCCCTGCCCCAGAGATAATGGGAGGAACACGGTGATTCACTGCTCCTAAACACACTAAAGGACATTTAACCAGCTCCAAGTCCAGCAATTCCCTTGTGGGAAGAATTCACTTATTTACAGGGAGTTTACTCAAAGACCTGTGCACTTGGAAACCTCTTTGCCATGAACACTCACCAGAAAAAGAGTCAAACGAGTTACAAAAATATTCTGAGTGCTGTGTAATGGAAAAGGACCCGGCTAAAGGAAAAGACAAACACTTTTAATTCCTCCTGACCGATCCATGCAAATACTCTGCCATCCTGACTAAAGCCCCTGGGAGCACAGCTAATGAGCCATGCATTCTGACAGCACAGGAGAGCCTGCTGGGTCCCAGCCTCCTCCAGAATTCCCTGGATGCCTGCATCTCCTGGCTCCTGGCTGCTCCTGGACTCGGGGACACCAAATCCAGCGGCGCTGCCAGGAATGGAAAACCAACAGTGGGGACCCAGGTGGCTGGGAAAGGGCTGCATGCACAGCTCCACCCCTGGGGACAGCAGGAGCTTCCCCTGGTCACTGCAGAGCTCAGGT